GGGAGCGCCCGTCTCCGCCGGCACCAGGCAGGGGGCGGGGCCGAGCGCGAAGGGGCGGGCCGGGCCGGGCCGGGCCGTGCCGTAGGCGTGTTGCCAGGCGGGGAGCGCCGAAGGTGCGGGGTGTTTGGGGGTGCACATGTACACGCGTATGCCTCGGAGGTGCTGGGGGGGTGTGAACATGTGCACACACGTGTGTGTCACGGCATGGGGTCCTGCAGGATGGCTGTGATCTCCCCACAGCCCCCAACGGGCACCCTCTCTCCTCGCCTGCCACGTCTTGGATTGAACGGTTGCTAGGGAAGCTGCCGGACACGGTCTTGATGGACTCGCTGGACCCCGTGGGTTTCCGGACCCCTGGGGGGTCCTGCTCCAAGACAGACGTCACCGGGTGTTTCAGGGCACCCCAGCCTCGTGGGCTATGCCTGGCTCCAACCACCCCTTTACCACACCCACATTGCTTGGTCTGGGCCTTGTTGCAATTTGGCCCCCTGCTGCTCCCTGGGCTCTCCGCAGCCCTGTCTCGCTCTGGCACCGGGGTCTGAGCACCCCCAGTGCTGCCCCCTCTCGCTCTGGCACCGGGGTCCCCTACGAGGCCTCCTCCTTCCCCTAATAGCCTCACCCAAGCCACAGGCATGATACAACAGCAAACAAAACACAAGCCCCTGGGCTGTAACATAAATTCAAGCCGTCCAGCTACAACATCATTCAAACCATACCGGGGAATACTCCATCCCTTGGTTTGCTCTGAGAGAGCTCCTTTCCCCTTGGCTGCTGGCAGGAAACTGCCTTTCCAGCCTCAGCCCTGGGGTTTATATATGAGCCGGGCCCTGCCCCTTCCGGCTGACCGCTGGCAGGTGTGGGTCACTCACTGCCCTGATGACCGGCAGCTGGGGCTTCCCACTCGCTGCTAGCGCTCTTCCCCTTGCAGTTTCAGCTCTTTAAAGGAGCTGGGCACCCTAGCGCCCTGTGACACATCTCCCCCCTTAAGACCCACACTCACGCAGGGTGGGGGGGGTCTTTGCATTTTTGGGCATTGCATCCGTCTTGAGCTCTTCTTGGCCTTTCTTCAGTCACATGCATGTGCCTCGGGGGTGCCAGAGTGCGTGTATACGCACACATGGGAGTGCTGGGGGGTGCAATGCCCCCCCCACCCCTCATGCAGGGGTGCAGTGCTACCCGGGTACCCCCTTCCCAGCTCTACGAGGCGTCTGGTCTCACCGCCAGGCTGGCAGGGCCCGGCCACCCATAGGCCGGCCAGGCCCGGGCCCATCCCGGCAGGGCCGGTCCAAGGGTCGTTGGTGCCCTTGACGAACTGTGCAGCTCGGCACCCTCCACTTCCAATGTAGACAAAAATAAGAAGTCTAGAATGCACTTTTCCATGCACTTATTTGATATTCGCAATGAACAATGAAACAATAAAAACAAACTTTTTTTTATTGATTGCTTTGCACTTTTCATGAACCCCAACACAACTGTACTGCAGAAAACTAACAGAATTGATTATAATACACATACAGTTAAAAGAAAATCCTCATGAACATTTGTGTAAAAAATAATAATAATAATAATTACAAAAAAAAATAAAACTTTGCTTTTTGCGCTTTCGGTTTTGCAGATTCAGAAACCAGTTCAAAGTTTTCCAGCTGTTGCATGTTCCAGCGACACGGCGGCCAGTCCAACTAGTCTCTCTTGTGGCACAGAAGAACGGAGGTGCACATGTCTTGATCAATTCTAGCTTTGAGGAGCAGCGTCGCAAGCTGTACCATGATATAGGAGTAGGGGTTCAGAGAAGAGCCACGCGCATGATCAGAGGTCAGGGAAGCAGACCCTACGATGACAGGCTGAGAGCCCTGGGGCTCTTTAGCCTGAAAAAGCGCAGGCTCAGGGGTGATCTGATGGCCACCTACAAGTTTATCAGGGGTGACCACCAGTATCTGGGGGAACGTTTGTTCACCAGAGCGCCCCAAGGGATGACGAGGTCGAATGGTCACAAACTACTTCAAGATCGTTTCAGGCTGGACATAAGGAAGAACTTCTTTCCTGTCCGAGCCCCCAAGGTCTGGAACAGCCTGCCACCGGAGGTGGTTCAAGCGCCTTCATTGAACACCTTCAAGATGAAACTGGATGCTTATCTTGCTGGGATCCTATGACCCCAGCTGACTTCCTGCCCTTTGGGCGGGGGGCTGGACTCGATGATCTTCCGAGGTCCCTTCCAGCCCTGATGTCTATGAAATCTATGAAATCTTTTAGGATGCCGTTGCCAGCGGTATGCTCTTGTCATAAGTCCACTTGAGAGTTGAAAAGGTAAGAGCTGCGAGGGACACTTAAAGTGTCTCCCTGGACTTAAAGTCCAGTCCCTTGATGTCGCTGTGCGGAGGTAACCAGGAGTTCTAGCTGTGATTCTAGTGATCTTTCTTCTGAGATCTTTTCCGCGGTCTTTCTCCTCTTACTGAACCAAAGGTCTTAGACCAAGGTGGAGCCGTAGCTGGCTAGGGCTGTTATTAAGAATGATGTTCCTGTTATTTTGTTCTGCATATACATTTGGCGCCCCTCCCAAATTTTGCTGCCCTAGGTGACCGCCTAGTTTGCCTAATGGTTGGACTGGCCCTGCATCCTGGAGAGGCCCCGTGGCGCCACCGGTCCAGCAGGCAGGGCGGGCGCTGGGCTGGAGGACAGGCGCAGAAGAAACCCCGCCCCTGCTCTGAATCCTCACCTGGGCCCAAGCCTGCAGGTGCTTTGCTGAGCTCCTGGCTCCAGTGCCAAGACACGCGGGGATCCTAAAACTGCAGCCCTGTGTCGCCAGCTCAGGACCGACCCCGCAAACGACTGAGAGGGGTGCGGGGGCCTGGCCTGCTCTAGTGCAGCATCCATCAGTCCACATCCAAGAGCCAGTTCATTGCACATCTCTAATCCCATCCCCATCTTTTCTACTGGGCCAGCGTCCTGCGGGCCCCTGCTATACCTGGTCATAGCCAACGGGCCAAGAAGCAGCCCCACAAGTCGCTGAGGGGCACATGGGAAATGCGCAGGTGTGCCCCACGTGCTCTGCAGTCCCAAACACAATTGTCAGGACTTTAATCCGAGAGGGGGAAGCAGAAAGCCTTCAGAATGGGACTGAGATGCAAACTCACCAGTGGCGTCTGCCTGAGTCTGCCGGCAGCCTGAAGCAATAACTCTCAGGACAATAGGAGCAGCTCGCATGCCTCTCAGTAGGGCTGTGCCAGGGCTGGGGGGGGCTGACAAATCCCATGTGAGCTGTTTTGCTGAACCCAAAATGCATGAGCATCGAGCCTGGAGCATAATCTACACCTGAGCGGCGGTTCATCTTCCTGGGGCAAGGGGGAGCAGTCTGGCACGAGGGTGGAGTCGAGGCCAGATGGAGCAGCCCAGGCCAGCGAGCTTCATCGCGTTTCGTAAGGTTACAGGAATGAGTAAATAACAAAGAGAAATTCCAGTAAGGGTCAATGGGCCGCTCGGGTTTTTATCAGAGGGTGGAGGGAAAAAAATCATGTCGACAAAATCTTCTGAGCAAGTTCCTCTTTCATCTTTCTTGGAGTGTTTTTGCCGTATTCGCTGCTGCTA